ATGTAACTCCCCAAGTGTCATCTGGTTGGATCCAGGGAGAAAAACCACCAGGGACAACCACGTATAAGATGCCTTCTACAAGCATGAACTGGTCCCCAAAGTTTCTTTATTGGAGATGTTGGACCCTCCCAACAAGTTAGGCTGTCCCCCCACATTCACAGTCTTCTCCAAGCCACAAGCTTCATCTCTGCACGTGGGCTTTCCCATGGCCAGAGACATAGTCATGTTTAGGACACACCAGGCGTGCTGGTGGGATACAGGAACCACCTGCAGTGTGCAACTCTGGACCGCTCTGCAGTCATCCTCGTGCTACCATAGCGATGGGCCCACACTCACGAGCTTTTCAGCAGCCTGGTGGGAGGTGGTAAGCTTAGACTAAAGGAGAGGAGGATGCTCATCTCCTAACTTACCTCCTAGAAGCTATCTGTGGCACTTCTACACTCCACAGCAAGTGACAGGATGCTACAGAGTACCATCCTGCTCCATCGGAGACATATCTAGGGCAGGTAAGTTGAGCTGCCATATGGACATGGGTGTTTCTCTACTCTCTCCTGAAGGAACCCAGGCAGCCAAGTGGGACCAGGGTGGCATTCACATCACTCACCAGTCTCTGCAGCATTGGCTTGTGGAGCTCAGCACCCTTTGTAGACACCAAAGGCTCTCTGGAGGTGCAATTCACTCAGCCTGATTGCAACTGCTTTAATACAAGATGAACTGCACCCTAAATTCCCCTGGCTGTACAGATTAGATCTCCATCGACTGTAAAGAGAGCATAGCAAGACCTCTAGGCCTTTTAGCTGTCTGCATTTAGTCATATAGTTCCCACCCCTAGTGACTGAACTGGGTGAGATAAGGATTTGCATTAATGGAGAAGAAACTAAGGTAGGTGAGGGCCCCATGGCTGGAACAAGGAGAAAGATCAGCAAAATGGGCTTTGGGGTGAAAAAGTTGATCTGGTCCACAGAGAGGTCCCTGCTTGGATGGGACCTGTGCTGATGACTGCTCAGGGCAGAGAGGACTACCATGACATTTGCTGGACAAGTATCTTTGTGAGTGGCTTGGTCATCCAGCCTGGCATCTCTGTGTCACACATACATGATGCTCAATGCAAAGTAGAGCAGCAAACCTTCCCTTCCAGTACTGAACAGGATGCTCTTGCTGCCAGCTATATGTTTAGCTGCAAGTGAGAGTTGTATTACCCCCTCCATCACCCTTTTCATTCAATTACCTTGTGATGAAATGACAATTTAGACATTTTATCATTTATGTTTGGTTGTCAGTCAGGTGAGGTGACTGTAGAGGAGGTTGTTCTTTATATTGCACTTCCTAAACAGACTGGGGCCTCCTAATCCCAGGAAGTGCTCAAGCCCACGTTCGACAGGGATTGAAGCAATCAGGTCTAGTGGAAGGTGTCCCTGCCCGTGGCAAGGGGCTGGAACTGGATGAGCTTTAAGGTCCCTTCCAACCCAAATCGGTTTGGGATTCTATAATAATCTGATACCAGCAGGAGCAGATCTACCTCTATCAGTCCCTTTTCCCCCCTCGCATGAGCTAGCTACCACTGAAAAGAGGCCCCTCAGAACTCCTGTTTCTATTGTAGCACTTCCGAACACATTACTTTAAGGTCTTTCAAAGGATATCACCTTATCTTGAGCCTTGAGGAGGTTGTGTGCTCAACCCAAGTTCATCTGTCCCCTGCCCTATCCATACTCCTTTGTCCCGTTCCTTGTGACCATGCAGAGGCTCATCCAACTGAACTCTAACCTAGCAGGGCTTGGTCCCAGCTGAGTTGGAAAAGGTGTTTTCTACAAGGTTGGGATCCTGGGGGCCTGCAAACATGAACCCTAAGCCCATACAACAAGCCACCAGTGCCAGATAATGGGAGAGGAGCCACACCACGTTGCCGTCCCCCCATCACCTACCTTGTGCCAGCATGGACCTTCTGAGCTAGACCTAGCTCACACCAGCAGGAAGGGAAAGGAGTCCTGCAGGTGTAGCTTGTACCAGCTTGCCAGGCAGAAGATCAGTGCGAAAGAATGTACCTACAAGTCTAACTTCATGGGTTTACCTTGGGGCCTCTGTCATTGCAGAACTATCGCCCCGGCTCACACCCCAGTCAGATGTTGCCACACAGCAGAGGTTTCGGGTGAAGTCACCCTCAGAAGAGAAGACAAGCTCTGGCCTGGCTGTGCACCATACACATGGCATACAAGGGACAGCCTGGGCTAACTACTCAGCAGAGGCCATCCACCCTTCCCCAAAGCATCCATTGGTCACCATTCTGCTGCAGGAACCTACTGGGGGCCTTTTCCTCTTTCCATGGTTTTCCTCTGGGGAGCAAAGCTATGAAGCTGGCCAGACAGAAGCCTGGGAAGGGCATGGCTTACACACACTGCTTGGTTTGGGTTCCTTCAAGGAGGATAAGTTGAAATTGATGTCCTATCGGCAGCAAGTCTTGCACAGACATCCACTTTCTTCAGGGAACAGAGGAATGGTCATCCCTACCGGTCCCCATCTCTTGTGTGGCATCTAAGCAGTCTTATGGATATGCCCACAAGCCCCCAGTGTGCACCAGGACATGGCAAAAGGGCGATGTAGGATCCTGACACAAGGGGCTCAATGTAGGAGACACAGCCCCAGGCTGGTCTCTGCCCCTCACTGGTGCAGCATCACCAGGTACCCCACCACAAGTCTTCTCCTCACAGCGCCTTTGCTCCTCAACGAGATCAAAAGGCATCCAACCCACTGATCGCTCGGGTTTGTGTCGAAAGGCTCCCTGATTACCTCACCATTAGCTGCACCCATTAAACAAAATCCTAAAGGTTTTAGACAAAGCTGAGGTTTCAGATGAGAGGGCGAAGGAATGACTCAGTGCCTTTAAACGCCAAAGCCTTCTCCTCCGTCCTGTTTGTACAGCACCTAGCACGAGGGGTCCAGGTGCATGCCTAGGGCTCTGAAACACCGCCACAATTAAATAATAGGTGTAATAGCAGCTGTACTCCCACCAGCAGGGTTTCGTTTTAGTATTCAAATATTCAGTCGTGCTCTGTAGCACCTCTTTGAGATGCAGTTCACTTCAGTGAGGTGGAGAATGACCCCTGAATGGCCAATGGTTGCACCACGGATATGGCCAAGAGCCCTTTGGCACCCACGGGAGCAGCTCTGGTGCTGATGGATGAGGCAGGAGTTAGCAGCCCTATGGTTCAGCTGATACTGGAAGCTTATAGGGGCTATAAAGGTGGTGGCACCCTTTAGAGACTTGTTTGAATGAGACCCCTGGCTGAATGGGACTGCTGCAGCTGAGAGCAGCCAGGGATGGTGATCACAATGATGTCACCTGGAGCAGGGAGAGATGCAGAAGCTGTTGTCTCCTATCTCTCCACCTGGCAAATCAGCAGCAAACACTGCATTTCAATCCTAAAAACAGAGCCCGTACAAAACAAGCAGTGCCGTGGTTTGGCAGCACTGCCTGAGCTTTGGGCTGATGATCATCGACTCGCTGTTGGGCACCGAACCCAATGGGAAGGTGACCTCCAGGAGGACAGATCTCTGCAGGGACCTTGGAGACTCTGCCCAGTTGCCAGCATCATCCAGCTACAGCCCCCTGTGGTGCCCACCACTGGCTCCTGGGGCTCTGGGGAAGCAGCTTGCCCTCAGCCTGGTACTTCTCCTGCCAGGTCCAGCTCAGGGCTCAGAACAGTGGTGGGAACCACCTCCATTTATCACAGAAGAAATAGTGCCATCTACTGACATTAATAACTCTGTTCCTAGAAAGCGAGGGGCAGGTGCTTATCTCTCTGATGCTCATGGGCATTCGGGGTCATGCCAGCTCAGGAAACGCTCCCAAAGGGCTGTGGTGGTGGGGCAACCTCATGAGTGACTCACAGGCAGGGCTGGGGCATGCAGTACCCCTGCAGCCATCCATGGTGGGTAATGGAGATGCAGATGCTGAGCACCCCTGATGGAAGAGCTGGAGGGGAAGGTAGTGGTCACTGCTACCCAACAGGTTTGTCCCCTTCACTATAATTGATGAACAAAGATAAGCCCTTCCAACAAGCTGCTCTTTGAGAGTCATCCCCCATCCCATACAATTCTTTAGTGTAGCTTTTTCCTCCCTGATCTGTGGTCCTTCCTCTTCTGATCCTGTGGGGTGATGCTCCTGGAACAGTTTTGAGAGCAAGTCGTTGGGTGGTATGTTAAGAGCTAAGATTTATTTTACTGGTCTTCCCCAGCCTCATGAAAGCCTCAGCTCCCATACTAGTCCCTGGGAGGTAACTACAGTCAGCATTATGATTCCTATAGGAGTTTCAAACTAGATATAAGCAAGAACTTTTTATGATGGGGATGGTGAAACACTGGAACAGATTGTCCAGAGAGATGCTGGATGCATCAGGCTGCATGAAGGTCACGTTGGACGAGGCTCTGAGCAGCCTAATCTAGTTGAAGACGTCCTCGCTCATTGTAAGGGGGACTGGACTATGTGACCTGTAAAAGCCCTTTCCAACCTAAACTATTCTATGATTCTATTATATATGTATTTATATATATACTATATAAATAGTATATATGTTATGCAGGAACTATGGCAGGACATGCTACCAGTCTCAGATGCTGGAAAAGCAGAAGTCCAAAACTGCAGGGAAAAACCCTTCCCTGGGAGTATCCTTTCCCATTCAGGGAAGCACCAAGACCCCAGTTGGGAAGACCCCAGTGACAGGGAGCTGATCCCACCCTACCACCTCCTTAGGGAGACTCAAGTCACAGAAGACTGGGTCAAAACAGGATGGCACCAGCTGCAATGAGTGCCTGAATCCTGGTGGAGCTGGGCTTGGGAACTGCCCATAGAAAGCAAAGCTGCTGCCTTTCTGACACTCCGAGCTGACCTTCCAATGGCAAAACCATCAAAGCAGGAGGTGCATTCCTGAGGTCTGACCCAGCACAGCAAAGTCAAGGAAAGGTTCCCACTGAACTCAACAGACACTGGACCACGGCCACAACACTTACATAGAGCCAAGATTTATGTGTTATTTTCAACCCCCTGGTTTTATCCAAGGCTTCATCCTGCCAGGGCTCTGTCTCATCCTGCAACAAGGAAGTCAAATTTATCCTACAGGGTCATTTTAACACAATAGATAACCAAATATATATAGCTAGGAACATTACCGTGTATGTATATATATAGAAAACACACATACATACATACAAATAACCTCTTAAGTGAGAGGCCAGCATAAAAAACAATCAGAGTAAACACTGTAATAATTCTAATTATGCAACATATTCTGCCTTACATATTTATTTTTAATGACAGTTCATTCTAATAGCTCTAAGGCCCTGAATTAGCCCAATATGTTCTTAACTACCTTCACTTTACATACAAATGTTAATGACTTTTCCAGAGGGTCCAGCACCCTGAATGAGCTTGCTGCACACCAGTATATTCCCCTTTACATGTTTACTTTTAATAACAGGTTTAATGATGCACTTGGGGCCTAATAACCACGTTTAGTCACAAAGAGAAAAACAAGCTACAAAATACTTTCTCTAAAAACTAGGCTACAGGGGATTGCCGAGCCGTTTCAAAGCCACACTGCCCATCCTTTAATGTGCCTCTATGCGTTTTGGCTCTGCCTGCATCCGAGATGGAGACCCTGGTCACGGATGAGCATCCCGGTTTTTGGAGGCTGTTTTAGGGTGACTCGGTGCAGGAGCAGAGCCATTTGGGGTGATGGATGGCCGCTGAATGTGGCCTCTCCTCCTCCCACCAGCAATTCCTGGTGGTTGGATGTGGGGAGACGCACCGGGCAGGTTTCAAAGGAAGGTGTTCCTGGGTTTTGGCGGAGGCATCCCAGGGCTTTCACTGACGTCACCAGTAGAGATGTGCCAAAGAGGAGCATGTTTGAAAAATCACACCCACCATCAACCCAAAAACCCCAACAACAACAGCAGCAAAACCCCAACTCCTACCTGCAGCTTTCCAGCAGCTAGGAATACACCCAAACTAAGAGGCAGCAGGCAGCTGCTCTCTGCTTTTGTGCCCACAACCCATCCAGCCACCCTTGTGTCTCTTGGGACTGGGGTTGGGAGCAGGTGGGACACTTTGGGCACATCCAGTCTGGCAGAGAGGTGCTTTTGGCTCTTCAAAAGAGAGGCTCTCATTGTGGTGCATCTGGCAGGGCTTCATTCTCTCCAGCCATGTCCAGACCTGTCCAAACCCAGACCTGTGTCCAGACCTGTGAGATCTCACGTGCTGGGGAAGATGCTCGGAGCCGCCTCTGTGACCTACAGGGGTAGGAGCAGCCCAACCCATCCCTTGCCTTGCACAGTTTGAAGGGTCACCCCATAGGGTTTCACCAATGTCCCTAATGGTGGCAGCTTTGCAGCAGCATGTGCTGGTGGGGCTGAAGCTACCTCAGCAGCAACACTTCTTCCCCTGCATTGGAGCATCCTTACACATGTATCTTACACCAAAAAGCCTTATGGATGGTCCTAAATATAACTGCAGCAGACCTCGCCTAGATTCAGCTCTGCCTGCATGAAAAACACAAGGCTTGAACCAGCTCTAATTTGTATACCTTCTGCCCCGGGGCCCGAGCGAAAGGGGAGGGTGGAATCCAGTAGCATGTTGTGCATAAAAAGATGATGCCAAAGATAACCTTATTGCTAATAATAACCCTGGAATCCGATCCTGTGAATAGGCCCTATTGAGTGTTTGAACACAGGCATTCCTCGGTTAGGTTTTGTTTCTGCCTCCAAATATTTCGCTCGAGTCTTTAAATACTAATCACAGAATTCAGGCAAAGGCTTTTTATCTTCAAAGTGCTGCAGCAAAAAAAAAAGAAATACATTAATTCATTAATCAAAGATAATTAAAGGGCACAAAATACGCCTTTTCCAAGCGCAGGGAGCCAACCAACCCAGCATGAAGCCATCACGGGGACTCCGAGCATCATTCCCACCGCGAACGTGATTCCCCCGGAGCGGCGCCCAGGCAGTAGCTTTGCTTGTTCCCAGCAGCTCCGCTCAAGCTGTCTTCCTGACATGTGTTAGGCTGTATGTCTGCCACGCAGGAAATAGGGTTTGAAGCTCACAGCCAGGAGCAAAAGCTGAGATTGAGGCTTTAATGAAGCTGGGATTGAGTGGCTAGGGTGGTTCAGTGAAGCAGTAAATGCAAACACATTATCACCTGAGAACTTGCTCCAATTTCACACCAATTAACTAGGAATGAGAGAGGAGGGCTGGGGCTGGCTGCAGAGATGGTTGATAATCCTGTGAATGGGCAGAAATGGCTCATAGGAGCAGTGCTTGTGCCAAAAGGAGTTTGTTAGATAACGCCAGTCCCGGCAATTTTGTCTTGGGAAGAGAGCATGTCATTACTGGAGCTGCTTTTATTAGCAAATATTAAAAACATTTGCAGAAATACAGATGCCCGTGAGGGAAGTAGGGGTGGAAAGTAATAATGCAATAGCTGGTTGTTTTATTTCACTGCCAATGCATCATATCACAGGGGGAGGGAAGGGGCAAGGGGAGAGGGAGAAGAGGGCTGGAATGTGAGGAACTGCTGGTGCAAAGCCAGAAGCTCATGGAGGGGAATATCCCTTCCTCAAAGAGCCCCTTGGGATGCTCATCTCTGGGTATGGGGTGGGTTTGACATATAGTCCACTGCCTGCAGATGTGCATATGAAGTCCACAATGGGGGCAAGAATACATCCCCATAACTCACCTCGGCAGAAGCAATGAGGACCCATCCATCCCCTTCATCTGCACCCAGGAGCCATCTCGCCCTCACTGCATTTTCATTTAAGCTATTTCCCTTTTTTTCTGCTGGGATCATTTCCAGGTTAGGAGTTAGGGTGGAAAAGGATCAGTAATTTAGGAGAAGCGCTATTAAATGGGTTTCTATGGGTTAGATACTAAACTAAATCCTACCTTCAGTGTGTTGGGCCTCACATTACCCCTTCATTAACTGCTGGTTTCGATGTATGTGAGTGACCAGCCTGGTCCTGCAAACCACACCGGCCATGAGACATTCTGCAGGTTGAACTAGAGCAACTTCTTGTGTTCAGATGAAATCTTGTCTTCATTTTAAAATGCATCAGTGACAAAGAGATTACTACAAATGCAAGGACAAGGACACCTTGCAGGGTTTCATGGTGAGATACTGGGCTGGGCTTGAGAAAAAGTGGGATTTAGAGGTTGTTTTCTCACTTGTATTTGAGAGATGGGAAGTTTCCCATGTCCTGCTGGAGAAGGTGCCAGGACAAGGCAGATAGTGCTCCTCATCCTTTTGAGCACATAGTCAGATGGATGCACATCATGCACCACCATTGCTGCTCAACTACCAGGCTCATCCCATTCATCAGAGGGATGTGAATGAACCATTCATGAGCAACAGCACCTTAAACCATGGCAAAGCAGCAGCCTGGCTAGCAAAACACAGTGATGCCCTTGGGCATGTGAGTCTATATGGATTGGCTTGGGTGCTCTGAGGGGTGTCAGTGGCCTGGCAGCACCCGGGAAGTCATATTATCCCTGAGAACCAGTCTATCCTGCTTCCTGGTGGGGAGCTCCAACAAAATAATTGAAAGGAAGCTGCATACAGGGGAAAAGTGCTCCTCTCATTCAATACTGAATTACTCCAGGCTACAGCAGAGTCTGAGACATCTCCCTTTAAAATCAGCAGGATGTTTCCTCTGGCAATGGAGGATGGATAATGGCCAGTGATGGACAAGGACAAACCACAGTATCCTAAAGAAACCCCAACTATGGTCCACCTCACTAACAGCCAAGGAGAGTGCTGGGGCTGGGTGAAGTTGATGCCTCATTTCTGGGCAAGGGGTGCTCCTTGCCCCTCTGTGAGTCTGATTTTGGTGTCCTGCTTGCTTCAGGTGTACATCCCCTTCTGAATGGGCTTGCAAAGGAGGAAAAAGCTGTGGATTAAATGAGCAAGAGTCAGTATCTACTGAGGCGGGTGCTGGGGGATGCTCTCCCAGTGGGATGCAGGAGGTCTGTTTGCTCCAGTTGTTCAGCCATGGGGAGCAGAGTGCTGTGGTCCTTCCTCCTTGTGGTGTGCAAACTGCTCTCCCAAGGGGAAAAACCACTACTAAGAGGCAAATCTCCCATGTGTACCATACACAACAGTGCGCCCAAGCCCCGGTGCAAATCCACAGGGCTCTTCCTGGCTGCTCTCTCCAGCCTGTAATTATCTTAAAGGCAACAATTAAAACTATTGAAAGGCATGTGATGGGTTTAGGGAGCATAGCCTGGTTAATCCCCACAAGCATCCTACAGGAGCGGAAGTGAAGAGATCCCAGGGGCTGGATGCTGGGCAGGTAGGGACCAGATGGATCTGCAGAAGTCCAAGCTTGCTGTGAGGAAGTGGCAGCATCCTGGTCCACGGAGAGTGTTGGACCACAGGAGATGCTCATAGGCAGCACATAGGCTGGTGCCAAGGGCTGGGTGGGCTGTGGGAGGGTTCCCCTGGTCCTCACCCCATCTTGATGCTCCTCAGGGTCATGCAGAGTCAGCAAAAGAGAAGGCCCATCCTCAAAAGCTACTCTTGCTTAAAGCCCTGATTGTAAACATCAATGGCAAAAGCATCATCCTCCTGTTTCCATGTTGGTCCAGCACTGTGAGTCCTGCTCTATTCCATATGTCAGATACCAAAAGAATGCTGTCTGCATACACTGCCCCTTCTGCCTTCCCCATCCTTTCCTGCAGCATCCCACTGTTGTATCATAGTAGTATGCAAAAGGTGCAAACATCCACCCTGCTCTCTGCTCAAGAAGTCCCAAAACAAGAGCAAGTAGATAAATAGCAAAGAATTGCATCAAAATCACTGTCCTAATGTTCTCATCACTTATTACCTTTTTTTTTTCCCCAGAAATAGTTATTTTTGCTGTTTTTCTGATAACATCACATTATATGTGATTTTCCACCCAGCTTTCTTTAAGAAGCAGTTTCTAACCTGCCCTAAAAATGCTGAAAAACTTTGGGAGCCCCCAAAGTGGGAAATTAAAGAGCAAAAAAGAGAACACAAACTCTTTGTTCTCAGTATCTCATGATCTTAAAGTGCTCGGGGTGATCTCAGGGGTGTCAGGACAAGGACAGAGCCACACAGGGCAGCCACTGGCTCTCCCATTTCTTAGCAAGGCAACACTTCCCCTTTGCCTTATATCAGTTTGGGTTTTTTGTTTTTTTTTTTTCTCTATGGTGTTTTAAATATTTTTAAAATTTCCAAAATCTCTAAATGTCTTTCCCAAAACTCAAACACAATTTTAACTATTTGGTCAAAAAAATATTAGATTTGGCTTCAAAATATCCTCCTTTTTTAAGCTTAAAATAGTTTTTAAAGTTTCTGCTCCAAATCAGCTCATTTTTTGGTGGAACAGATTTTTTTTTATAATCCAAAGAAATTCAAATTCATTTTCAACTCAATATTTAATTTTTGAATGCAAGCTTTGTTTTTTTCCTTTTATTTCCCCCTTTTCCCTTCTCATTTGTCTCCCCCATTTCTGAAATACAAATAACAGGAATAACCTCTTCTGAGCTAATTCTGCTGCTGCTAACATCAACAGCCCCAAGGATGCTCAGGGCCCTGTGCTTACTTCACCACGGAAGGAGCCTGCAGAGAGTCCAGGACACTATTCCCTGTTCCCCATTCCCTGTGGGTACCCATTGGGCTGCACCAAAACCACAGGACAGGCCCAGACATGGGACTGGGAGGACAGGAAAGGCCCATGGCAAATCCAGCCTTGAGCTATCAAGGAGCCTCAGGGATCATCAAGGAGCCTCAGGGATCATCAAGGTGAAGCAGCATCACTCAGGGTGCCTTAAGGGCTGCATTGCCCCAAATGGAGGACCTGTTGCAGGCAGGCAATGTGTCTTATATTCTGCATATATTTATTACATGTATTCTACAGATCCCAGGTTATAAAATACACAAATGCATCCTTAAATCTTTCCATTCAAAATAAGACATATGTGTAGGTGCTGAACATGGTCCCCTCTGTCTTTGCCATGGTGAAGCTCTTCATTGTTGCTGTCTATTTGACAGGCTGATGTGTGGATTTGGGGTGACCAGCAGGAGCTGGCTGTTTCCCCTACACCTCTTCTTATGCTCTCTGGGCTCCCTGCAGTGACTGCAAGACACAAACGTGTCTCTCATGGTCCAGCTCTGAAATGGGCATCCTTCAAGAGAGCTGCATCTTCCCCCACCACTCTTATAAGTTGTACAGCAGCCAGCCAGTGTCTCTTCATGTATTTATTGATTAGAAGGAGCACTGTAGGTAAGTGAAGCCCTGCTGCCTTTGAGGGCAGGAATAACATTGGGTATAGGTGTCATTCAGCAGTGCAGGCATATAATAAATTTCATTTGGGGTTGTTTTCCATCACGTGAGCATCTGACTTCTTTATTTGCATAGGGGGCTTTAGTGCTGAGTTTCTATTTGAAACCAGAGTGAAGAGAGGACAGCAAGGTTGGTGGGAGCTCAGGTCTACCCAGGAAGCGCATCCCACCCTAGGGTACCGATACTGACCACAGGAGCAGCATGGGGATGGGGATTTACAGCGATGTATGTTTTTTCACAGCAAGGGTGAGAAAAACTGAGGATACCAGGAAGCAAGTGAGAGGGATGGACTCCTATCTATCTCCAGATCTTCAGACTGAGGTGTTCATAAGCCAACAAGTTGCTGGGCTCGATGAACATGGCAAAGTGATGTTCAACAGCCTGTGTCACACGGGAGATCAAACAAAATGATCTCCTCTGCCTTTCAAATGTGTGAAGCTGGAAGGACTTAAGGGCATACAAACTTACTTTGATTGCAGGGCTGGGATCTTGGAAGTCACATTCCTTTAATTTCCTTTAGCTGGTTCCTTTCCCCAGGAAGGCCATGCACAGAGAGGTGAGTTTCCAATGGAAACTGGTTTTGCTTCATTTTCCACTTCTCTCCTGTTACAAGGAAAGGAGTGCAGAGCTCCGGAGGCCTGCCTGCCTCTTTCTATGCAGACAGAAAGGGCTGGGTGTCTGTGTTTAATTACAGCCTGAAAGAACTGCATTTAAAAGACAACAGCAAGCTATTTAATTAATACTTATCATTAGCACACATAGGAATGCCCAGCAGCAAATTGCAACAACAAAGCAAGTCCTGGGTTTTTTTTTTTCCCTTGCACTTGGGATAAATTAATTTAAAGAAAAAAGAGCAAACAGATGATTTACACCAGATTTAAGATGACTTTATATGGAGCGAGAGCATCGGGGTAGCAGGTATTACCCTAGGAGAGCAGAGATCTATAAGAGCAGGCTTTTCAATCTCCAGCTCTCCTGCCCAAGAAGCTTATCTTCATCTATCCATCTATCTTTCTATCTCGGCATTTACACTGGGCTCATCCCCATGTCTGAGCGCCTACTTGTCTTCATACCTGTCCATAAATTACACAGTACCCCCAAGGCATTATAAATAATAATTCAACTCCCAAACCTCCTGTTTAAAACACTGTTTTAAAGCATTGGCTTATAATTCACCGTGTTACGGACTTCTCTTTCCCATAAAGGTAAGGCTGGAGCAGAAGGATGTGACACCTCGGCCAGTGGAGTAAATGCCCCCAAATCAGTTCTTTAGGTTGGAGGGCTGGGGTGGGTGGAAGTTGGAAGATGGGGATGGACATCATGGCAAAACATGGGGGAAGGCTGGACTGTTCTGCTCATGGGAAATAGCATCCTCATCCATAGGATTGGGGATTTCTACATCCCTCTGGATTTTAGCTCAGCCAGTGATGCAGCCAGACAGCCATGTCCCCCTTTAATAATAGCACTCTTAATGGCACTATTAATGGTTGGGGTGATAAACCACATCAAGGTTGTGCTGCTGATGTCTCCAAGGGGTGCAGTGCTGGAAGGTGGTCACTGGCCCATGGGCATCACTGTCTCCTGGATCATGTGGGTTGGATCTGCCTGGGGTGAGGGCCCTGAAATTGGACTTTTTGCTGGAGAAACGCCTGAGCAGGGGTGTATGAGATGAATTATTTCACAAGTCTGTCGCAGGTTTGTGATCGGTTCTGGAAGGTGTAGGGCTAATACATCATTAACCTGGGGCACGTCAAGCTGACAGGGCCACAGACACCCATCAAAGTGCCAGGTGAGGAGGTACCGCCTTTCTGCATGGTTCTCCTTTCCCCGTTTTCCATCTTTGCATCAAACAAAGCAGTTTGTCTCAGCTGGAGACCTGAGGAGGAGCAAGAAGAGCCCTGAGCACCTCAGGCCTGCAACGTAAGAAGGATGTGGAGCTGTTGGAGTGAGTCCAGAGGAGGCTGAGATGATGCTCAAAGGGCTGGAGCAGCTCTGCTCTGGAGACAGACTGAGAGGGCTGGAGTTGTTCAGCCTGGAGAAGAGAAGGCTCCTGAAGGGGAGACCTTAGAGCAGCTCCAGTGCCTAAAGGGGCTGCAGGAAACCTGGAGAGGGGCTTGGGACAAGGGCCTGTAGGGACAGGCCAAGGGGAATGGCTTGAACCTGCCCGAGGGGAGACTGAGCTGAGCTCTTAGGCAGAAGCTCTTCCCTGTGAGGGTGCTGAGGCGCTGGCACAGGGTGCCCAGAGAAGCTGTGGCTGCCCCATCCCTGGCAGAGTTCAAGGCCAGGTTGGACACAGGGGCTTGGATCAAGCTGCTCCAGCGGAAGGGATCCTTGCCCGTGGCAGGGGTTGATCTGGGTGAACCATTCCCATGCCCATCCCGGAGCACCCAGGCTGCCACGCGTGGCCGTGCATTGCCCTCTGCGGGAGCAGGGCTGCCCTGCAAGCCGAGCCTGTCTGTGCTGCCTCTGCCCCCGCTCCAGGCATGGAACAGGCTTTTCCTGCTGCTCTTCTGCCCCAGCAGTCACAGAGAGAGCTTTTGTAGCGTCCTGCCCAGAGAACATCTGGTTTGGAGAAGCAGCACATTCACTCCTTAAGGATAGCTGAGAATTAAACCCCTTTTCACTTTATATGGGCGTCATCTGCAGTAAATTGGACCCTTTGCCCATCCTACTGCTTCAGGGCACTGGGATGGGAGAGCGGGAGTTACTCACTATGCTTTCTGCTTGCAAAACACAGCAGGGCTCTGGTGGGCTGCAGGTCCAGCACTCATACCCCATCCTTCCCAGTGCTTCCCAGCCAGGGGGTCTGGGTCTGGCCCCTCACCACCCCTTTCTACTCTGGTCCCAGCCAGCAAGCCGGATTTGCAACCTCTCACTTGGATGCAGAGCTGGGTGCAATTTCAAGCCTCTCCCCCTTCATAGGGTGTCTAAAGCTATGATTAAGAGCTAAATTACAACTGGGCAGCCATCCCTGACCGAGAACCGCAAGGTCTGGGGAGGCAGCTGTTAAAGATAATTGAGTCCAATGAGTATAATGTGTGCATCAACCAAAAGGGCGGCCCTTGGGGGGGGTTATATGGGATCAGGGGTTTTCTTATGGGCACCACCACTGACTTCCTGCACTGCTCCCAGTGCAAAGCTATCCTTTGGGATGAGGTTATTCCTGAGGATGAGGCTGTGCTGCTGCTTAAATGTGTTTTGCTGCGTGGTCTGTCTCTTGAAACGAGGCAAACAATGGCCTTGTGCAGCATCAGACCACAGACATCACCAGCATTTTCTTCCCAACTGCTCAACCCATGCTGATAGCATTCAAAACATCCAGCATCCAAGTGCCGTCGGTTTTCACATCACTTCCAACTCAGCTGTTCCCATCATCCCTGTTAATCGTGATGGAGCCACCTTGGAGGAGGCACAGGACCCTCCTCTCCTGCAGGGTTTTGATGGGATGGAAGGAGGTGGTGTGGGGCCACTGCACTTGGGGGAACTGAGGAAAAGGCTTCTGAGGTGCCAGCAAGGTGGCTGGGAGCCCAGGCAAAGCTTCCCACTCTTCCCGCACATTCTGCAGCATCCCATGCTGATTCACCTAGCATTTACCCTGCTGAATGCCACTAAACCTTCAAATTAATCCTCCCATCACAGGACTTCCTTTGATGTCAAAGGGGGAATTTTATTTGATGGCAAAGGGGGATTTTTTCCCCCCTAATTATTCCTTTTTTAAATTCCCCCCTTTTTAGGCACAAGAGATCCTTGCCAGATTCATGACTTGTGGAGGCAGCTCCCACACAAGGTATTTATATATTTATATGTATATGATGCAAACGTGGTACTGAAAGACCTGATGTTTCAGGCAGAAGATAAGGGGAATTTCCCATTTCCTTTTTGTTTCAGTGGAAACTGCCCAGGAAGAGTCTGCAGCAGAATTAGGACCAAAAGGTGCCAGATATGGCACTGGGAAGTAACTCTAATATAAACACGTTCAGGGAAAACATCTTGTATTTAAGACTGAGCAAGTATTGATGCCTGGGAATGATTCCTGCCACTACTTAAATTACAGTGATGGATAAAACAGATCCACTCCAATTCTGCATGCATTTCCTACTGAGCATCCCTGGTGCTGCTGGGATTGCTGGGCTTGAACATCCCAGCATGGCTGGGATCACTGGATAACGCTCAAGAAGCTGCCAACTGTGGGTAGCACTGAAGAAGCTTTCTGTAGTAGCCAGTAATGATGGAATAGGTGAGTTTATTCAGTTTCAGTCAGTTTTTATGAACTACTAGGACAAAGGGGATACAATTGCAGAGTTCTACTGAAAATGTTATGAAATCGTCTATATAAGCCAATAATTAAGTGTGTCCTTGCTAATAATTCATTGCATAGAGAGTGGGCTCCACTCAGCATAAAACATGGCTCTCTTGGGAATGGAAAATGAGCCCTATGAGGCATTGGCCTTGCCCTGTGTGATCCCCTGCCTGGTGATCTCCTGCTGTCCTGGGGGTCCCAACCGACTGCTCTGTGCCTCCCACCGCTTTGCTGCAGCTTCAATCCGCTCCCTGAGCGCCTGTGCCCAGTCCTGTCCCCGCTGCAGGGGGGTAGACCTGGTCTCCATCGCTGTTAGGGCAGTGATTTCAGGGGGGATCTGGGGAACCAGGCCGGCTTGGAGCAGGGCATCCTGGAACTTGACTGCGGAGGCTGGAGCTAAGCAACACCGGGGCACGCTGGAAGGGAAAGGAAAGCAAGAAAACGATGGATGTGAATGAGTCCTGAGCTGGAGATGCTGCAGGAGCGAGTGGTGCTTCTGCTCCCAGTGCTCCCAGTCACTGCTGTTCTTACCTGTCTGGGTGTGAGTAGTGATAGTGAGCAGCCACAGCAGAGTGAGGACACAGCTGGTAGTGATTCTCCTCCCAGCAGCGCCGCATGGCTCGCACGATGTCCTCATCTGAGGCTGAGCATGAGCGCAAGGTCTCAGAGAGCTGTGGACCCAAGGGAAATGGGGAGGTTGGCACAGGGCATCACCGTCCCAAGTGTTCCCCGTGGAGCTGGTGCTATGGGCACTCAGCAAAGCAGTCTTGAGGTGGGGATCCCCAGGGACCAAAGGAAAAGGGGGTGCTGCTGGAGCTGGGGGATGAGGCACTGCTGGAAATGACTGCATGGATGGGGTGCAAGCAGGGGCTTTCCATCCCCAGATGCTCAGAGCACAAACTGAGCTCCTCAGCTCTGCTTTCTGTTTACATGCTCGGAGGGAGTCTCTGAGGGCTTGTAAAACCCACCTCAGTTGATAGGCTCTTATTTCTTTTAATAATGCAGGTTTTTAGCATCTATTTTGCTGCTGCACAAGCAGGAGTGGGCACTGGGCAAAGCATGCTCAGGGTGAACAGTGTGTGTTGGATGGGAAGAGGCGGAGCTTTGTATCTGACCCAAAAAGCCTCTCGGTTTAAGTGGTTGGCTTTCATCTCTATTTCTGCTTTGTGCTTGTGCTCCCTTGTGCTATAACACTGAGGCTGAATTGCAGCACCAAACCCATCACTTAAACCAGGCGACTCTCAAACAGCACACTCAGTTTGTGCTGGCTCCTGCTGCATGATGCCTCAGTGCTGGCACTGCAGTGGCCAAGGACAGCGTGGTTTCATGTCTTACTTAAATAACTGTGGGTCTTTTTCATTAGTTTTTCAAACAAGAAAGATGTTTTTCTTTAGAAAATATAATTAAATGGGGTTTTTAACACCTGCACACATGTACATAGATAGAGAATTCTGCTCTGGTCTCACACTTAAATTTTTGGTTGGAAACTCTCTGCTATGATTTTTTTAATCCACGAAAGAGTTGAGAACAAGTGGTGGCAGTAAATCTCATACACACACATAGAGTGCTGCGTGAATCTAGAGTTTTTAGTCTAGAGAAGAGAAGACTGAGAGGGGATCCCATCAATGCAGATCAATAGTTCAAAGGAGGGTGTCAGGAGGATGGTGCCAGACTCTTTCCAGTGGTGCTCAGTGACAGGACGAGGGGTAATGGCCATAAACTAAAACACAACAACTTCCACCTCAACAAGAGGTGGACAGCAGGTCGAAGGAGGTGATCCTGCCCCTCTACTCTGCTCCTGTGAGACCTCACTTGGAGTACCGTGTGCAGTTCTGGTGTCCTCAACATGAAAAGGACATGGAACTGTTGGAACAAGTCCAGAGGAGGCCACGAGGATGATCAGGGGACTGGAGCACCTCCTGTATGAAGAACAACTGAGAAAGTTGGGGCTGTTCAGCCTGGAGAAGAGAAGGCTGCATGGAGACCTCATAGCAGCCTTCCCGTATCTGAAGGGGGCCTATAGGGATGCTGGGGAGGGACTCTTCATTAGGGACTGTAGTGATAGGACAAGGGGTAATGGGTTAAAACTTAAACAGGGGAAGTTTAGATTGGCTATAAGGAAGAAGTTCTTTACTGTAAGGGTGGTGAGGCACTGGAATGGGGTTGCCCAACAAAATAGTGAATGCTCCATCCCTGGCAGTGTTCAAGGCCAGGTTGGACGGAACCTTGGCTGGCATGGTTTAGTGTGAGGTGTTCCTGCCCATAGCAGTGGGGTTGGAACTGGATGATCTTAAGGTCCTTTCCAACCCAAACTGTTCCGTGATTCTATGAGGAAGAACTTCTTCATGTTGAGGGTGTCAGAGCGCTGGAACAGGCTGCCCAGGGGGTTGTGGAGTCCCCTTCTCCGAAGCCATCCCAATCCCTCCTGGACATGTTCCTGCATAACCCGCTCTGGGTGGCCCTGCCTTGGCAGAGGGGTTGGACTGGATGATCTCCAGGGTCATTTCCAACCCCAGTGAGGAACCAACCTTCCTGTGCAAATCCTCCGGCAGCTTCCGGCTGTTTGATGCGCTGAATTGCTCCATCAGTGTTTTTATCAGGCGGCTGTCGGAGCCTGAGAGCAGCCAGAGGACCCTCTCCACGTTGTAAGGCTCCTGGGACAGCAAGGCAAGAGGTGAGCAGTGGAATCCAAGCATTTGTCTCAATGGGAGAGCACCTGTGTGGATTCTCTGAAGTCTAATGAGGGTTGAGGTCCTGCTGATGCATTTGTCTTGGTGTAAGCTGCAGTGGGCTTTGCCTTTTAACCCCTGCACACTTACATCCCAAGGCAAGTCTTGGGGAACAGAATGTCTTTCAGACCTCTGACCTGTCAGAGCAGTCTGGCAGTGACCATCAGATTAAGACTAAAACTAATAAAGGGACTACTGATAAATCAAAGGAGTGACCACATCAGTGCAATCACTTTGAGGAACCCAGTCTAATAACACACCCTGTATCTGAGAACCTGAAATATCCAGCTGTTTACTCAATGCTGCAGCTCCCGTGTGACTTAATGAGGCACCCAACTCCCTGCAGGGCTGACCCATGATCTTTATGAACACACGAGGCACATATAGGGCCTGACTGGCCTGTATGGAGCAATGGGTGTTGCAACACTTCAACAAAACTCAGTGCAAGACCATACAAGAGGGTCCCAATTCACTGCTCGCTGCCTCATTCTTGCACGATCGCACGCACCAAGAAACATTCACCCAGGTGAATGTTCACCTTGGCCAGGATACCTTGTAAGGATAGACAGGACAAGGGGTACCAATACCAAGTCCCCATCACATCTCCTGGTCTTGGTTCAGTTCTTTACACCTCTTAGCAGCTGGCAATGCCTATGACCTTTTGTCTCTTCATCCTGACCTACCTTAGCGAGTCATCAGGACTTACTCAGCCTTATCTGGATGGCTTATGGCCCCAGTCCTGCTCTTCATCTTCCCACCATCATCTCCCAGAGCCTCCAGCCTGTAATCTTCAGTCTAGTCTGGCTGAGCCCTTTGCTGCAGGCTGTCCCCTGGTTTAGGCTGTCCTGAGAAGCTACGTGTCAGAGTGCTTGGACTCCAATGAACTGCTACTGAAGGTGCCTCCAGCACCCTCCTGACACCCTTCCTCCCATCCTTCCTTCTGCTGCTCCCACATCCAGACCTGTCCCTTTCCCCTCCGTTCATACCAGCCTTATGGTTTCCACTGCAGAGCATTACATAGACATAGACACCAGTAAGTTGAACTGGGCCAGGACACTGCCATTTAAGTCATGAACCAGCTCTCTGGTCTGATTTTGTCCTACGCCCCTGGAGTTGCCTAGGAGAGCACTGGGGCCCCGTCTGGAGGGCAGGTCATAGTGGGGACTGTTCCCAAGAAATGTTTTGGCATGTACATGTAAGCTGTGTGGCACCTTCTGACCTCAAGGCCAGAGAATAGCCCTTGGTTAGTTTAAAGTAACACAAAGAAACAGCATCTGCTGTGATTCCCCTGGGATAGCTCCTCCCGAGGCTCATTCACACTGGACTCTCTGCTTCACCTTCAGCTCTTCAGCTAGTGTCTAATCAGAAAGTTTTCTCTGCTTTAGCTTAGTCTGCAGAAGAGGCAACCTAAAGAGGTTGTGCGCTCTCCATCCTTGAAGGTTTCCAACACCCAACTGGCCAAAGCCCTGAGCAACCCAGCCTGACCTCAGGCCTGACCCTGCTTTGAGCAGGTCCCAACTAGAAATGCCCTGAATTCCAACATGAATGAACTGTTGAACTGTGGATGCTTCAGGTGTGAGCTGAACCATGATGGGTGGAGAGGGATGTGCAGATGGGTCCACCCATCCAGCTCCTCAGGAAGCTCTGGGCATCACCCCACTCAGCTGCCTTCCCTCATGATCCCAAAGTCTGGCATATGGGTAGTGCCTCAGGGACATGGGTCGAGAGGAGCCCAGCTACCCTTTGAGCTTTGAAGAGCTCCACAAATCCATGCCTCAGGAGGAAAGTCGAGCTACAGACCACAACTGGTGGTAGGGGCGTAATGACTTATTGACTGCAAAGCATGGCAGCTCCTCCAGGCTCCCAGGGTGTTTGAACAGCTCTTGGAAAACCCAGGCAGCTTAAGGCCACAGTGATACAACACCAAGTCTTTCACACTTTGATCACTTGTTTGGAAGCAGACCCAACCCCTTTGGATCACAGGGTAGGTATGAAAAGGGAGGTATTTGCTTCCAGGTGTTTGGTTTCTGTACCTCCATGACTTTTCATTTCTGAGGCCTTTGCCTGCCTGCTCAGACTTGTTTTGCATAGAGGAGGCACTTCTAGGCTTCCTTACCTTCTTCCTGGTCTCAACCTTTCAGAAGCATCATCAAAGCCCTTGAGACACAATGGGATTTACAGCTTTCCAAGTGCTACATTCTGAGGAAACATCCCTCTCTTGCTAGCCTTGCACCAATGAAACCCCAGAGCCAGCATTCCAGAATGAAGATGACAAAGTCAAGCACTGAGAAGTGAGGAAGAAGGCATTTGATCAACCTCAGCTCAGCAGTCCACAGCATAAAAGCTCGTATGAGTCACACCTCTTCATGCATCACTGAGAGGCATCGCCAGTGGCAGAATTCTGCTCTCATAAACCAGGTAGAACAAAGTACAAGGGGAAAAACATACCATATTGGGTATTTTCCCATTTTGGCCAGTTCATTCCCTACCTGAATATCCATGGCTGATGCTAAGGTAGGCTTCACGCTCTCTGACAGTGAGAAATCTCCATGTTGGACAGTCCTGTGAATGATGTCATTGCTGTTCACCACAGCAACAAGGAGAACCGGGAGACCCATTTTCTGGGCAATGCATCCAGCTTGGGGAAAAAGAAGCAAAAACAAACACTTGATGAAGAAACATTCAAAGCAAAGAAGTCATTGTATAGATTCATCGAGCATATCAGATGCAAATGGCATTCCCTAGTGCAGAGGGTTGGAACTGGATGATCTTAAGGTCCTTTCCAACCCAAACTATTCCATGATTCTATGACTCTGAGATATCTGGTTTTAATGTTTTGGTAGAGCACCAGATTACAAAGCCCAGGGGTGCAATGCTTCACCTGCCATTGAATACTGACCCTTGGGCATCTCCACCTTTGAAGGTGGATGGAAAGAGGACTTAGAGGTCAGGCAGTTGCTGTTCAAACAAGAGAGATGAAGCTTTTGGGCTCTTGCATCTTACTAATGCTGCCTCAGATGGGCAGCCTGGAAGCGCAATGAATGCACCTGAGTGCATCAAATCTCTTATTGCTCTCATAAGACACCTGCAGGTCTATTTTCTAGGGTGAGGTGTCCCTGCCCATGGCAGGAGGGTTGGAACTGGCTGATCTTAAGATCCTTTCCAACCCAAACCATTCTGTGATTCTATGATTTTGGGATTGAGGCAATCAAGGACTCACATTTAGAAGGCCAGATTACACAATAAAGAGTGGTTCTCTTGACCATACTCTATGCAAACCAGAGCAGGAACAGGCAGGACTCCACACAAAACAGAGCTGCAGTATTTTCCCTGTTTTCTGGATCAGACACATTCTGTCCTTTTCCAATGTGCCCATCTTCAAGATAGCTACAGTCATCAAAGGGTGGTGTGGCTTCTTCTGCACCTTCCAAATCCTCAGTGACCCCTGAATGACTAATAACCATCCATGAGTAATAAAATAGAAGTGGTGCTGAAGAAACCCTACCAGAGAGTGGGTGTTTTAATAAACAGCAACACACAGCATCTGCAATGTGCTTTTAGTCCATAGGTCAAGCACTCTCCTCCTTATCTAACCTATCTTTTTCCCTCTTCACCTGTGATATTTCCTCCTCCTCCTGTTGGCACAACAATTTCCACCACTGGCAGCGGGGTGGTATCCAGGGATGGGGCGCATTGGAAGTAAGCATAGAAGTGGTGAGCAATCTGCACCATGATCCTGGACCAATTGACTGAATTCAAGCTCATCAGATTGTATTTTCGGGCAAAATCAACATCGGCGAACAGTTCCTTGATGGGCACATCAATTTCATCGCTGTTCCCATGAGCTGGCAAAGGGAGAAAGGGAAGATTAGATCTGCCAACACCAGTGCATCAGGCACAAGGTATTTATGCTCAGAAATGGGGTCAGTCTCAAGCCTTGGTGTGTGCTGCAGCTAAGGATGTCCTGAGGTGCTCCCCTGCCTTGGGAGCCAAGGGTTGAGCCATCCACTGCAGGGATGCTGCATGGTTTCTGCAGACATTGCACTCTAGGCTCTTGCCTATCTCAAGTATGTGTTAGCCAGGAAGGCAAATACCTGCATCCCCTATGAGATGACAAGGTGAGACCTGGCTGAGCAGAGGCATCCATGGGACAGCAAAGAGCCCAGAGGTAATTCCTAACCATGGGGACAGCATGGTGGTAAGGGATGAGCCACCGTGAAGATGAGGGGCGGGAGAAGGGGTGACCTTCAATCCTTTTAGTACCAAGAAATGGTCCTAATTCCGTGCAGCTAAACACCAATCACCTGCATGGAAGCAGCCCTGACCTATGGCCAGGAGAAAAGGAAGCATTAAACCACTTGGTGCTCAAGCTGGGGACATATGCTATAGGCTCCAGTTAGCCAGATGTTTGGGCATAGTGACCATGGTGGCAATGACTCGGATGGCTGCAGCTACTAAAGCTGCAACCCCCTGAGACTTCTAGAGTCATGGTTTTGACCCAGAAGAGCCATAAAGTGGACAGTCCAACAGCAACACCAACCAGCAAAGACGTGGACGTTGTCTTCAATGACGGTGGTCATCTGAAGCTCTTGTATCTGGGTGCACAACCCCTTGGGCAGCAGAACAAAGATGTCCATGTTCTTCTGCCCTCTCACGCTCTCGATGGCTGAGCTCCCGGTGTCCCCTGAAGTCCCTGTTTGGAGTGAGGGAGAACCAAGGAGAGCAACAAGCATTGATGTGTCAGTCAAACCTGCATCACTGCACTTGAAGAATAAGATGCAGAGATGTTCCAAGAGATGCTTTTGGCTGGAGCAGCCACCCTGCCATTGCCCAGAGATCATTCACCGGCCACCTATGAGGCAACACCACAGAGGGCTTCTATGGGGAGGGTCATGGGATGATGGCAATCAAGGTAAAGACCTCTCCTACACAAAGAGGCATACTCACCCACCACAACAGTGACGTGCTTCTGCCTCTTCTCCAAGAAGTACTGTAAAAGCTGCCCTGTACAGGACAAGGACAGGTCCTTAAATGCGTAAGTAACCCCGTGCCAGAGCTCCAAAACGTTCAGCCCATCTTTCAGCCTGGATAGATGGACGATATCCTTGTGTCTGAACCTGCTGAAGGCCCTGTCGACCAGGTCTAGAGGGAAGATGGTTAAAGGAGCTGTTAGATTGGGTAGAGGAGCGTTTCTCTGACCCATGCCTTCCTGCACTGTTCACACATAACCAAAGACTCTCAGTTGCTGGAGAGGTGCTAGATACCCAACAACTTATTCCTAGCTATTGGGAGTAAACCAGTCCAGGTTCATTGTGCTGGACAGCTCTATACAAGTAACCCCAGCCGCTGCTTGACACAATCAGAGCAAGCTGTGTTACTGTATAAAACACAGGAAACCAGGATTTGCCATAAGGAGCTATTGCAGCAGAGGTTGTAGCTGCCCTCTGGTGCAGCGATAGCTGTTAAATGCTAAAAACACTAAAAAATCAGTCTCAATGAGAGTGTGGAACAGCAGAAAGCCCTGGTGGAGGGCAGGTCTGGAGCACCCAGCAGCAAGCAGGGTCGCAGCATCAGCTATCACTGTTGTAGTCACCAGAATCCCTATTTGCACAGAGAGGACACCTTTCCCAGAAGGCAGCAATTCCCAGCAAGGGGAGATTCTCCTCCCAGACAGAGAACAAGGTACAGAAAGCAGCAGGGAGTGATGCAGCAGGCTCCATCCTCTAGCGGCTGTGAAGAGGATGGAGCGAAGGCGGGCAATGCATTGAACACCCCAAACCCCTCCTGCACAGCCCTGCGAGCAGCCGGTTGAGGCTCACCACTGAGTGTGCTCCGTGGGACCAGGTCAGCAGTGATGAAGAGGGAGCACAGCTCCTTCACCAGCTCCGGGTAGGAGAGGCTGCTCCAGCTCCGCAGGGTGTCCCGATCCAGCAAGGGGATGTGCTTGGGCATGAAGAGGCCCCCATCGGATGCGAAGCCGGAGAAGAGGGTCCTCTCGAAGTCGACAGTCCCTGCGCCTCCCCGTGTGCTTATGTACTCCATGGTGGTGCTGCGGAGACACTGCAATCACTGCCAGGGCCCTGAGCACCCCTAACTGGGAGCAGTCCCGCATCCCATCCTATGGGATGCTGTGAGGTGACCCTGCCCGTGGCAGGGGGGTGGAACTGGATGGTCCTTTCCATCCCAAACCATCCTATGGCTCTATACAACTTCCCATGTGGACAGACAGATATCCTCAGGGAAACCAAGAAGCCATAGGTTGCTGGGGCAGCCGGGGCTGGCAGAGGACACACATCGTTTTGCAGGCAGTGGAAACGCTGCCTGAGATTTGCACGGAGCCTCCTCATCCCGCTTTCCCTGCGGCGTTCCCACCGTGCCCCGGACACACTTCCCGGCTTAGGGCAAAGCCCTGATGGCGCTCAAGTCGCTGTGCAAGGACGTCATGTCCCCTGCAGGCTGCTTGCAAAACCTGGAGCTTTAAAAGGAGGCAAATAAAGGGAAGGGAATAACTTGGGGTTTTGAGACCGCATTTTGCCAAAGGGGTTAAACTAAAGATGGGATTTAACACAGTGCAGGAAGGCCCGAGCTAACCCCCCTGGATTCATGCAAACCCCACTGAGCAGCCTCCGGCGCTGCCCCTAGAAGCCCCCTTTAACCCCATGATCTCCATACCTATTCCCACCTCGGACACTCAAGCAGCCCCTCGGCACGGCCGCAGCCGTCCTGACCCCAACCCAGAGGCAGGAAAGCAGCCGAGAAACTCACCCCCAGCGCTTGTAACCGGGCACCCTTTGTACCCGTGCGCACGGGAAGCTTCCCCCCCGTTGCAACAAGTCAGTGTTCCCCTGGGCGCGCTCGGTCCTCCTGCTCCACGTCTGGGAATGGGAGTGTGTGGGGGAGATGGAGCTGAGCTGCTCCTGGTGTGGCCGGGCAGGAGGCACAGGCGGCAGCAGAGGGGAAGCTGGTTCAGTGTTAGGGGATAGGTTTTAACAGTGAGGGCGATCAAACAGGGCACGGGGAGCTTGTGGCCAGTGTGAGCCCGTTAGAGCGTGAAGCTCAGCTGGAGAAGCACCGAGATACCTGATTTAACCGTGAGGTTGGGTTTGAAGCTGAGATTGAACCTGGGTTTGGGTGGGAAACCTCCAGATGTCCCTTCCAACCAAAACCAGTCTGTATTCAGCTGAGACAGTGAGGCTGGGATGTGGTAACAGCTCTATCCCACCACTGGGGAAACTGAGGCACGGGACAAAGAGGGGGGATACACGGGGCTGCGTAAAAAACTCGGTTCTCCTTTGCAGGGAAGGGCTGTGCATCCCTTTTCTTACCTTTTAGCTTAATAAAGAAGTGGTGTTTGAAGGAGAAGGACCACAGGACTGGTGACTGCATGGACCCAGGGTGGAGGAAGGCAAGATGCTGAGGTACAAAGCATGGGTGATAACAGCCAGATGTGAGTCAGGAAGCCCACATCTGCAGTGAGGGATACATGACTCCCAAGGCAGCAAAGTCCAACCCAACACACAATCCTTCTTTTACTCCCATGAGTAACTGGAGCCTTGAGAAAAGTCTCTGGTGGAGAGTGCTCCAGACCTTTCCCTGGGCACTGATATGGAAACTGGCTTTTCTAAGCCCAGCATATCAAAAGCTTGCTCATTTTCTGACCACCTCTAAGAAATCAGCTAGAAATGGAGCTACTTACCTATACTTCTATGTATTCTATCTCCCTGCCGGCCCATATCTCCCCATTGCAGGGAGATCTCTGTGCTCAGTGTTTCTCATCACATTGCAAAGATGAAGCCTGAGCCACCCAGAGCTGCTGTAACCACAGGGTCTTCTCTGCACGCACAGCCCCCAGGTCCTCTTGGCACATTGGCATGTAGTGGGAAGCTGACCCTGTAACGGGGGTCCCTTCCCATTCCAGATGTGCATCCAAGTCCTTTCACAGGGCACTAGAAAGCACAGGCAGCAGAGCTGGACCTTGCTCCTCACAGATTATGTTTAGATCAATGGTGAAACCTCACCAGATCCATCCTTGGAGTCACCAAAAGCCTCCAGGGTCACTGGGCAATGTCCCCTTAGCTCCACATCATGCTCCATTGGCAGCTGACACAATACTCTTCAAGTAGCATCTCTAGAAAAGAAACAGTGAAATACAAGAAAATACTAAACAGCAACGAATAGAATCAACTAGAAATAAACTAAAAGCTGCAGGATCCAGCACTTTGCCTCCTCTAGCCTCTCCCATGACAGGCTGCCAAGGTGAAGTCAGGATCTTCTTCCCTTGCAGCAGTCTCTGCCCATGCAGAGGCAAAGCAGGCTTTGAACCCAGCTCCAATTTAGGCTCGAACAAGGAAGGGATCAAATCCATGGCGAAAGCTGCAGAAGCTGATGGTTTTTATTACTAATGTAATAATTTAATATCACCAATGAGCATCTGGTTACCTCCACAAGGGTTACACAGCACATCCCCCCTACTCCCATGACCATGAGACTTTATGCCTCTGGGTGTTCATTTACCATACATCTAACACTTTCAATGTGTACATTACCTGTGTGAGACGACTTCACTGATTCATCTAATGTATGTATTTATTCCATGTGAACAGCTTACAAGGAAACTTAGGAACCCTTTAACATTAGAACCCTGCGGGGTGCATATGGGAACCCTGCAGTAAGAAAGGGGGTTAAATCAGGTCGCTTGTTGCTTCCCATTGACAGAAGGAAATGGTAGCAGGGCTATTGCCCCAGCTTTATCTATGCCCTGGGCCTATCAGCACTGATAGCCCTTGCTAATGAGGTCATCGATTGGTGCTTTGATGCTAGGGATTGCTTATGTGGCAGCTATGGGTGAGTATAGAACACAGGGGGAGCATGTAGGACATGTACTGGGATGACAGCTATTCCCATGTTTAGCCCTGCAATTTCCATGCATTCAAGTTTAAAGGGCTACTGCTTTAATATTATCTGGATCTGTAAAAGGAAGGATGGGAACAGAGGCCCTGTGCTGCTGCTGCACACCAGCCTGTCAGGGCTCATCCACTGCAGCAACAGATCCAGAGCTGGGAAACGTAATAGCCTTTAATTAACCTGGTCTTACTCAATGCCTCCATACTCCTGCTGGGATTTGCACTTCCACTTTGGACCTTGTCTCTTCCTGAGCAGTTCTGAGTCTTTGGACTCACATGTCAGGAATCAGCTGTATCTGCAAACCCCGGCTAAGGCTGCTCTCAGACTTTGCCAGCTCTATTTGTTATACTGCACCAGTTTTCATCCCTCCAGGTGGAATTTCCTCAGCCTCTCCCTGCACAAAACGCATGGTAAGGACCAAGGAAGCAGAAGGGTGCATACAGCAGTGAGAAGCCTTTATTTCTGCACAGCTTACCCCCATATTTCAGGTCTCACCCAGAGCATTGCAGCGCTCAAAGGAGAGCACTGAAACACTCTGTGTTTGCTGAGCAGCCTTCTATCCTCTCCAGCAGTGGCCCCCTCTCTGTGTCCGAGGCACAAGCAGTGCATAGGGTTTGGGTTCCCTCTGCACACACCCAGCAGAGCATCCCCAGGGATGGGGCCAGAGAAGGGCACGGAGCTGGTGCAGGGCCTGGAGCACAAGTGTGATGGGGAAGGGCTGAGGGACCTGGGGGGCTCAGTCTGGAGAAGAGAAGGCTCAGGGGGGACCTGATGGCTCCCTCCAACTGCCTGACAGGAGGATGGAGCCAGGAGGGGCTGGGCTCTGCTCCCAAGGAACAAGGGATGGGACAAGAGGAACCGGCCTCAAGCTGCACCAGGGCAGGTTTAGATGGAGCTGAGGAACAATTCCTGCCCCAAAGGGTGCTCAGGCATTGGAACAGGCTGCCCAGGGCAGGGCTGCAGTCACCATCCCTGCGAGTGTTCACACACTGTGTAGATGAGACACTCAGTGCCATGGGGCAGTGGTGGCCTTGTCAGTGCTGGGAATGGTTGGACTGGAGGAGCTTAAAGGGCTTTTCCAACCTATTTGATTCTCTGATTCTATGGGGACCGCAGGCTCTGGCAGCGCCACCAGTGCATCCCCATGTCACTAGATGGCGGCAGCGCCTCGCATCCACCAAGCAATGCTGTCCTTCATCAGCCCCCCCCGTCCCCTCCCTCCCTCCAACTTCCCGGCCATGGATGCGCACCATCCATCCCATCGGGATTTCAGGCAACAGCCAGGAAACCCCTCTCCGAAGAGCCCCATTTGGGAGCCGAGGAAGAGGAGGACCAGGCAATGTGCTGCAGCAGGCAGCCAGGCTATGGAGCCGGGTGAACCAATGCAAAAGCTTGTCGGGGTGGGAAAGAGATTGCTTATGTTCACCCCATCTTCTCCTGGGGTTTATCGCCCCCCTTCCTGGAGGGTCTCTCATGCCCTGGGTGTCTCTAGAGCCTAATTCTATGGAGAGACTCAGAAAAGGGCACACGGAAAGATCCCAGGACAAGAATGCACCCAGTTCAGTACAAGAGCATCACATGAGCTCAATCAGCACAAAAACCTCCTCATATCTCCCTGTTCTGTCTCTGCCCATGAGTTGCCTGAAAACCATGCACAAACAAAAGCTTTCAGACCTATAAGGAAGCCAAGCAATGCCAGGCAGGTCCAGTAAGCAATAAGGATGTTTGGGGTTTTGCAATGCCGTTTACCACCCCATACAGACTGCTTCCAGTGGGAAGTGTGTTATGTTGTCTGAAAGAAAACACATAAGCTTGTCACAAGGGGTTGCTGAAGAAAATCTGTGTCTCCTGCCCTTTCATGCACAGAAGCATGAACTTTTACACTGAAAACAGAGAGATTCCAGGGACAAACTGTAGGGGTTTGGCCAGAAATCACAGTATTCCAGTTCTGCCTTTCTCAGGGGCAGACCCACACGGAGGTGAGGTTCAGAGATCTATAGCAGGAAGGGGGCTAAGGATGTCTGCATCTGCACAGGCAAACATGCACCCAGAATCATTTGTCTGATCCTCGTGTCAAGGAGCTATGGGGCAGAAATGTACAGTCATGGATGAATTAACATGCACAGAACCGCCCCTTGGTTACAGCGCATGTGGCTCTTTCCCCCTCTTTCTAGATCGGATGAAGTTATCAGTATCTCAGCTGACCTGAGATAGTTCTACGTGGGACAACACCTTTTCTCACCTGCAAACGTACACACACGCTTCTCCGCCTCCACTGGTGGTGATTTTGCAGGGCAAGGAGCTGCCAGCACATCAGCTGGGTTCAATGCTCCTTCCTCATCCCAAGGTGTTTCACAACAACCTCAAGGACATCCCTGTTGTGGTTTGGGACTTGGAGACCAAAGTGCAGGACACACTTGTAAAGGCAGAGCAGAACGGGAGCGCGAGGGTGGGATAGTGCAGTGTGAGGGCTCCTCTGTTAGGACATTGAAGACTCTGTTACCTGGAGCAGGTTGTGCAATCTGCTCCTTCTGCATAGAATCATAGAATAGTTTGGGTTGGAAAGGACCTCAAGATCATCAAGCTCCAACCCCCCTTGCCATGGGCAGGGACACCTCGCTCTAAACCATGTCACCCAAGGCCTCGTCCAACCTGGCCTTGAGCACTGCCAGGGATGGAGCATTCACAACCTCCCTGGGCAACCCATTCCAGTGCCTCACCACCCTAACAGGAAAGAATTTCCTCCTTATATCCAATCCTTATATCCAAAGTTTGCATTAAACATCAGGGATCAATTTTATCTCAACGTTTGCAATCCCATAGGATACGGGCTCTGTGCCCGCTCATTAGGGACCCAGTAAGGAAGAGGCTGTGGAGGC